GATAGTTCCTCATTTTGAATCTCTCGAGGTGGGATCGTTGATGCGCACTACTGAGGAATCCCACAATAGGATGAAATGGCCGTCCAGTGCTTCCAGGTTTTCCATGGTGGTTTAGCTTCAATTGACTCATGATCTCAACTATTGAAATTACTACATTCTTGACAAAACCTCTTCTGATAATAAGAATCAGTATAAATCAAACTAAATTTTAATTCATAGAAACTCTTATTACTTCTTAATTGTTTCAGTTTACATACAGTGAGTTGACCTTAACAGTATAAAACCACTGGAAATGATTTTAAAAAAATACAAAGTATCCAACAGAGTACACTGAACTATTCCCCGTTTTTTTTAAACAGATACTTCTAGTTAGATTATTAAAGTACATTTCATTACCGATAGAATTAAGAACTAGCATCATAAGAAATCAATACTTGGAGAAAAACGTGACAGGTTCTTGTTTATATATAATTTTTTTAAAAGGAATTTATTGGTTAATTTGTAACCATTTGACTAGCGTGCATAAAATAGTAAAATCTAATTGTCAGTAGTTGTAAGCAAACGACAGGAATGTCCCATATTATACACAATATTTTCAAGATTCAATAAGTATGGTAAATTCAACACTTTCAGCCCTTATTCCATTAGTTTATTAGATGAGTCCTTCATATCACAGTGTAGTTTTTAATAAAGACTTCATTTCAAGTTCAGACATTCACTGTATATGTTCTTTATCCAGTATGTTAGTTTGTATGTACCATATTGATATGTTTGTCTGTAACAATTACGGATACCTACAGATATTTCTTAACATTATGTCTAAACAAGTTACTTATATGAGTAGTATAATCTTTAGTTGTGACAAGTACAACGAATTTATATTCTGAACGACATTTTAACTTTTATTTACTTATATAGTACAGAAATGTAATGAACTATAAAAACGATGGTTATTATAATAGCTATTCACCAATGAATATACTACAATATTTCATTTAATTTATCTCATCCAATCAATAAACCAAGAAATCACAATAGCCATATATCTCCCTGATTTGTCTTGTCACGATCATCTAAGAAATTTTTGTTACACATTAGTTATCAATCCAGTCAAAAGTAATAATTTCAACTGAAATTTATTTCTTGTAACTCTGAAATATGATAGGCATAAGGCTAACTTAGAGAGGAAGAATGTATCTGTAGAATCTCAGCGAAAGAATTTGAAGTAAATCCAACGTTTCGCCTGGCAATCTGGTCCAAGATTTTTCAAGGAAAATATAATCAAAGAACAAAATTATCGAATATGATTAGGTACATGGTTCTCTGGTTTACTGTATACTGAATATGTCATCCAATCAACGTTAACAATGACTCACATTAACTCGGCGCCCAAATATTGTGAAACTATTCGTTCAAATTTAGACGAAAGTTCTTATTTATAAGGCTAACTTGTTATTTAGTTTAAATGAAAATTTATTTACTTCTGGTTCTCTAACTTTGAATGAGAAAACATCGCCAGTGAAGTTCAACCATGTCAAATATGAAACAAATGTCACTAATTATGAATGATTAATTTTCACTCTATCGTAAATTAACTAAAGTTAGAAATATAAACCATTGAAAGCCAACTCAGTAATCTGAAAGTTAAGCTTTTGCTCAGAGGCTTGTAGGTCCTTATTTCTATTCATGATGGGGTCATAATTTCTTGATATTGACTATGGTATGTCGACTTCATCATACAATGGTTTGTAGAAGCCTATTAATTCTACAAAACCGAATAATAACAAAATATTGTTATCATAACTCAATAATGTGTTTGTACGTTTTTTAAATCAATAGGTTAGGGTCTCTTGTTTCATTAAGATCACTCAGATTTATATATAAGTAGGCATAGTCAAGTGAAGAGTGTAAGATAGAAGAAGATGTATATTTTCTTTCTACTTTCAAGTACAAAATTTTGTTTCAGTTTTTTACTGAAATCTACTATAACCTTAGAAAAACTAATGTTGTATAGGAGCTAAGCAATTCCATGAGAATTTAGCTAAGTATCTCCGAGAAGATTGAATACTAATTTCTGTATGTTAAATTGCCTTTTAGAATAGACATCTTTAGAGACAATAATAACCACAAGATTCAACCATTTTACTAGCATTTTGAAAACAATTAATCAGAATATTGAAAATCTGCACGGAAAACTTAACCAATGTATACTGTTGACTTAGAATACAAACAGCTAACACTGTTCATATATCTACAAAGTATGTAAATAGGATTAGTAACCATTTGTCAATAAACCATGTCAAATATATAATGTCTTGTTAACTGCCCTTGTTGATCCACTATACAGGACATCGCTAGTCACATTCCTTTTGAGTTTCAGTTTTAGGAATAAAGTTTTCTTACGAGCAATCAACATTTTTCAATTTTTTTTCTTTGCATGCATGTACTTATTTAAGAAACTTCCCCAATAGCCTATTTCCCTTCAGTATGTCGTTAATAAACTTTAACCGCTTCTTCACGGTATCCTTTAAGCAGACCTCTTTTTGCTTTATTTTCAAGAGATGTGACCAGATTCCTTTTGTAGAGAATAGATGTAAAACTATAGAATTGTCTGTATCAACACATAGAAGAGCTCTTTTAATACACAATAATAATAGCATGCAGTGATAAGATATAACTGCTTTGAGATGTGAAACTATTCTTTTGAATCGATAATACACAAGTTGTTAGTGTTATCTACCAATAGTGTTCACTTTGACTAAACCACAGAGAAATAATGATTTAACATGAAAAATCTTTTAAAAAAGAAAAGAACCGAGACGGACTTTAGCATTAAAAATACTTTTATTAATTGAGATCATGAATCGATTGAAGCTAGACAACTATGGAAAATCTGGAAGTACTGGACAGCCGTTTCAATCTAATACGGAACGCCTCAGCAGTGCGCATCAACGATCCCACCTCGAGAGATTCAAAATCAGGAACTATCAGTCTCGTGCGCGAACGCTTAACCTCTACACCACTGAGTCGGCCGGCATCCAACGGTGTTAATATCTAACTTCAACTAATTCACGAAATTGAGTGACATATCCACCATTGTCTTCAGTGAGTTACTATCTATCTCACAACACATCTGGTTGAACTCGAGTTGTTACTACTTTTCGCCAGAACTCTAGGAAATACCTCTTGTAGCTAGTTACTAGTGAGCATATATTGATGAATATGAGAAGGTGGATTTTGTGTAGATTTGAGTAAGTTTATAGCTGAATTCATAGGTCTTGGGTTCGAATCTTGCGAGAAGGAATCATTGGCACACACTACTGAGTTGTCCCAAAATAAGACGAAACAACTGTCCAGTGCTTCCAGGTTTTCCATGATTGTCTAACTTCAATTGACACATGATCTCAACTATTCAGATTACTATAATATCCACAAAATCCCTTTTCAAATATCCTTTTGTTTATAATTATGTTATTGGTTGAATATAGATGAAATGAGTAGTATATAACGATAAACTAATCATTTCTTGATTCCTTCTTTTCTTTTTCGAATCATCTTATTTTAGCACACATTCACTTCTACTATTAAATTAATATTGTTTTTTTCTATATGTTTTAATTGTAAATAGTAATATGATCATATCTGTAAATAAATTACATTTGCGCGTTCCTTAATTTTGTTTCCAAATATAATTGATTATTCAATGATTGACATACTGTATTGGCTTTGTTATATCCATTCTATTAATTTCCAATTGTTCTATTCATTCCTCTTTTAAGTGTATCTAATAGTGAACAGTTACTGATAAAAATAGGCACACGAATGAAATTATTATGATTAAAGATAAAATGTAACATTTCCTCCACTATTTAGGCTAAAATATTAGTAGTACGAATTGCTGTGAAATTGTTTCTTTTTAATTCATTAGTTAATTCGTCTGGTTTCGAAACTCGTGGAGCAGGATTGTAGAAGCGTACTATTGAGAAGTCGTATACTAAGACGAAACGGCCGTCCAGTGCTTTCAGGTTTTCAATGGTGGTCTAGCTTCAATTGACTCATGAATTCAACGATAAAATTACTGAAATCTCCACAAAATCCACCTTCTGATAATTATCCTCATATGCTTAATAGTGACCGGCTTCAAAAGGTATTTTCTGGAGTTCTAGTGAGTAGCAGTGATAAGTGAATTCCAACCACGTCTTTTGTGAGGTAGTAACTCACTGGAGACAAGGGTGGTTGTGTCACTCAATTTCGTGGATTAGTTGAAATTAGATATTAACACGTTTGGATGCCAGGTGACTCACTGGTGTAGAGGTTAAGCGTTCGCGCGCGAAACTGATAGGTCTTGGGTTCGATTACTGCGGGACGAAATCGTGGAGGATGAATCAGCCGTTCAGTATTTTCAGGTTTTCCACGGTTTTCTAGCTTCAAATTATTCATGAATTCAACTTTAAAATGACTAAAATCTCTACAAAACCCCCCTTTCTGATAATAATTTGTTTCCTGCCAAAAACAAAAAAACGCACACACACACACAACAACAACAAGGAAATAAAGTTTAACTATTAGAATTAATCCAAAAAAAAATGTGAAAATAAATTTTATTTCTTAAAAGTAATAATGACTTGATGTGATTTAAGTAGAAAAATATGAACTTGACACTATAAAAAAAAGAAGCAACGACAACGACGACAACAACAACGACCAACATATAAATGAAATTCCAGTCACTTTCATGTATGATATAAGGAAGAACTAAACTAATGATACTACCATCATATATGCTTATATGTTATAAAATCTCTTTTAAGTGATAACATCATATACACAGCTTCAGAGAATTTTAATTAGCTTCTTCTTTCTATTGACTGACCAAAATATTGAAGAATAGGTAAACAAAAAGTAAAATAGTAATCATGATTGTATTAAGATGAGAAATTATATCAAACAACTAATTCACTATGATCATTTCTGATATTTGAATTAAGTTTATTAATAATTTAAACAATTGGTTCTTCAATATATAATATTCCATTACTAAATTTAGCAGTAAGACTTTCTGGATCGATATTATCCGGAATGTCGTATTCTTTAGAAAATTCTCTTACAGAAGTACGATTAGGAGCTCGTTCTTCATGACGTGCTTTAATATAAATGCGACGATTCAAAGTTTTAATTTGTATTTCTCCTGGTGAATATTCTGAATCAATTGGTAGTTCTAAACGAAATCTATGTTTTCGTTGTTGTTGTTGTTGTTGTAGTTGAATTGAAGAAGAAGGATGACGACTCTGATAGTCTTGTTGATCACGTGATATAATATCATAATCTGAATGTGAAGAACGTGAAGAATAATTAGATTTAGGTGATTTCAAGTCAATTTTTCTTGAATATTGTTGCTGTGGTTTCATAGTTGGTGATCGATAATGATGACGATAATATTGATGATGATTATTCCAAAATGAATCTGATAAATTTTCAGAATATGGTGATTGTAAATTTGTTGATGATGAAAATGATGGTGGTTTCATAGGACAACTAACAGTTAATACACCATTAAGTGATAAAACAGCAGAAAGTTTTTCATCATCTACACCTGGAGGTAAATTTAATGAATGAGTATATTCACGAAAAGATGATATAGAATTATTATTTGTATTATTTGTATTTAAAGTTGTATTAAGACTGTTAGTAGAATGATTATGTTCAGTTTTAGCTACTACCATTAATTTACCATCACGTACAAATACTTTAAGTAATTCTGGATCATAACCAGAAAGATTAAAATTTGATACAAAATGTACACTTCCATCTGGAAATTGTTCATAACCACTTGATGAAGGATTTTTTGATATAATATCATGTGAATTTGGAGAATTTATTGTTTCTCTACTACTAAATATATCATTTGAACTTTTTAATCGACTAGGTAATAACATATCATTATTCAATAATTTAAATTCTTCATTCCATCGTCTACGACGTTCTTCCATTCTACGTTTCATATCATCATATAGATAATCTACATTGTTATATCTTGTAGGATCAGCAGAAGTTGTACGTAAACGTTTATTCCATGGGATATCATGTGAAATATAATCATTACTTGATGTATGACGACTACGTGAATCCCAATTATTTATATTATTACTATTATTATATTTCCAATTGTCATTTAATGTTAACATTGAATTATCATCAAATGTAAAGTAATCATCATTGATTATTGATTTATTATTTCGTTCAACAGGTATACGTAATTCTGTTCGATAATTGGTCATTACTTCTTTGGATTAATTTATTACTTAATTATTATGGTAATAATATTCATTAAGTGTTATATCCTGAATATGAAAATTATAATAATCACCATAGAAATTAGATAAATATCATGACAAGTCCATTTCATTTCATGAATACAATATGACAGATTCAAGTGATAATCATAAATAAGTAGTATAATCACTAAATAAATGATAATAAACTTATGATAAATGTAAAAATGGAAAAATTATATGGATAGAATCATCTGTTCATTTATCGCTCAATTGATGGTACACTATGCATGAATACATTTAACACTATACAATATGTCCCATTTAGAGTTAAAATGACTTTTGTAACCAATCACAATGATAAACTATCGCTTTTATTCTATGATATGTCTATCTATCAAAATATTTAGTATCTAAACACATATGAAATAGGTGACTTTTATGTGTGTGCTATTGTGACGATTCATTTGTTATGTAACCAAATCTATAAAGTACTATTATTGTAATTATAAGAAATAGACATTTTAACCAGGTAATTTCATCATTTCGCCCACCACTACCTTTCAAAATGTAAAAAAGTTGTAATTTTCTTCTTTTTGTAAATAGACCCAGTTAACAAGATAATTTTAAAAAATTGTCAATGATAGTTCTATGCAATGTGACTAGATGTTTTGGAATAAAATAGTAGAATGATGTCAGTCAGTCAGTCAGTAACAACGTAGAACTTCGTACGTACGTAAATCAGTTCGACTTGCCATACCATATTAGCACAGAGATGCAGTTGTCGACTCAAATTCTGTAGTGGTAGAGGTAGTAAGAGTATAAGCAGTAATTGGAAACATTAGGGCTTGAAGATGTTATTCAAGGAGTATAATAAAGTGAAGTGGATTTGGAAAGAAAATAAGGGACATGAAGAATTCAGAAGATTAGAATTTGGGAGAACACAAAGAGTAGATGATGAAACATTGTAAAGATGTTTACATGATGAGGAAATGATAAAATGAAAATGGTCAGTATGGAAAGATAATCCTTAGGATGTTTGAACACGATGAATATGGATATCGAAGTCAAATCGTTTTAATAAAACTGTACGTATATATGTGTATGATGATGTTTATACGAGGTCACTTCGTATCTGTGCTTATTATTATTATTATCATTATTATCAAACTAACACTTTCAACAAGTGAAAGAAATTATCTTATACTAATTAAGAACATTGAGTAAAAGTAGACAACCATTTATTATTTGATTATATAATCCGGTTTAGGAAAAGCCTATTGCAGTTGTTTCGATTTGATCATGAGAGATTTCGAATTTTCATCACAGACTGATTTTAGTTAGACATCCATCGAAAATCACGAATTGCTGGATAGATATTTCATCTCTGTAAAGGGCATCTCAGCAGTGAACATCTACGACCCCACTGCGGATAAGATTTAGGATTTTCGATCCCACGCGCGAACGCGTAGAAGCTAATGGCATGTGTGCCTAACATAATCTATTAGCGATATTGTGCTGATATCTTGATTGTCTGATTTAACTTCACTGGTAGAGCTTCTACCCAGAACTCCTGAAATTTATCTTCAAGTTAGTTAGTAGTGAGTTTGTTAAGTTTTATAACTTACATTGGTACTCACCAAAAGCGATGAAATCATCATAATCTAGCGAATTGTTCGAAGTTGGACACACAAATCATTGGCTTCCAGCTAATTTGTCTAGTGGTTAGGCATTCACGCGTGGGATCTAGTCGTAGGTGTGCGTTAGTGAGGTGCTCTTTACAGAGATAAAACATCTACCTAGTATTTCATGATTTCCGATGGATGTCTGACTAAGATCAGACTGTTATGTAAACTATGGTAGTATTGAATTACCTAATTGACAATTAAAAATTTATCTAAATCTGTAAAAAGAACTCGAATCAATAGAATATGGGTTATGAATTCTTGAAATCTCTTATAGCATAAAGGGCTTTAGTTTGTAAGAAAAGTTATCATTTCTGTCATTTGATTCATTTCAGTTGTTTTAGGCTGGGGTTATTTTTACTTGCGAAGCACGAACTAGGATATGAATGGATGCAAGGAAATGAAAGAAAAACACTTTTGGCAGATCAAAATTCACTTCACGATCCGAATAAAAATAACTGACGAATGCACTCACTTATATATTAATTTATTTGCACTAATTATTCACTAACAAGAGTTATACCGAATCTATCCCAATGAATATAACACTGAATTAATACAAGAGAATGTTATTATTATTAGAAGCTTTATTCAACATTATATTTTGGTACAACATAGAATTCTCAGCATAAAGTATTTCAACAAGTTTCCTTTTCTTATACCTTGATCTATTGTGACGATAAATTTTGAATGATGACCGGTTAGATGTTAGGAGTTCGGTAATCCACATTTGATTAATGTTCATTCGTTTCAATGCATATTGCCAGCCACCATGATGTCGCTGATTGTACCTTTTTGTATCACGTATAGCGAAAGGTTGTAAACTTTTCATAAACGCGCCTGAATAAATTATGCGCACAACAGACATAATGATGTGATAAAACAAACAACAAAACAGATAACTTGATGAAATATCTAGATCGGAGGAACAGGTAGCCCAGATATTCAAGCAGGCCGCCTTCCCAAACAAATAGAATGCTTCGAACAAAATAGTACACTAAATTAATAAATAACATCATGGTTTATCTATTCCTTCCATCTTTTATGTTGTTGTTTTTTTGTTGTTGAATATATATGGATAAGTTTTTTGTAGGGATACATATGTACTTGATCTACTTTGTGATAAAACGTCGATAACTGGTCAATTGTTTTGGATCTCTTGATACTCCAACAAAAATAACCTCTATTATGAATTAAATTTGTAACTAACTATTATCACAAAACATAAAAATCAATATTTGATCGATTAATCTACGTGAAGTAATCACAAGATAAGTGCTTACTGAAAAACACTCAAAACAAAACCTTTAAAAGAAAAATTATTCTTTTTTATACTTTTACTAGATCATCATGGAAAGAAATTCACCTGAACTATTTACTTTGGTTGATTTTTCCATGAAATCATTTTATTCAATCATGTTAATTCCTTGGTGAGATTAGAATTTATGGTCGACCTTTGAGTGACGCTAGACTGACCATGAGAGTATTCACCTGATAACTAGGACCAAATTGGCGTTATAAATTAGTGTGAGGAATTAGAATTACGATTTACAATTGATGACTAGGGTTATAAATTAGATTTCGGGTTTTCATCACGAACTGACATAAGCTATAATGCCAAAATTCTATTTATCCAGATGGGTGAGTGAATTTCGCGCGAATATCCGAGACCTGTTATCTTATACCTGATTGGTTCGTCCATAAATTGTAGTCTCTCTAATCCATTTCATTATGATAATCTTTAATTAAATAATTTAAAGAAAAGTTTACTAAATATTGACTATTCCAATCTAGTTAGTTTGTATATCATCAATAATGTAACCTAATTTGATTATTCTGTTTTGATCCTTTAAATATAGTTTTCTATAAAATGTATTTGTGATGAACGTTTTATACAAGTTTAATTTTCGAATAGAAACGTTAAATTCATTCGGTAAACAATATCAAATGAATTTAAACTTTACCCCATTCCACAAGCAAGTGCCTATTGGGACTCAGTAGTAGCTAAATGGATAACGCGATGACGATTGAAGCGAACGGTACTGGATTCGAGTCCAAGAGTGAACAACTCTGAGATGCAGGCACATCCATCTGACGAATCCTATCATGGATTCCACTGATAGCTACTATCCGTTTTTGCTTAGAAACGTTAAATGTTTTCATTTTCATTATTTCGATCTAAATTGATCATTATTTTGTAAAGGCGATGGTACAATGTCAAGCCCATAGAGGTTATTCCAAATTCTGGACACAGATCAATCTATTCATTCTTCTCAAGTTATATTTTCACCCTGTCACTTATTCGCCTATCAACCTTAGCTATTGTTTTATGTAAGCGTATGTGTGTTTTTTAAAATCTTACTCATTATATGTTTATAACTTCTTTTTGTCTGACTATAAATACCAATTCATGCTTGGTTAAATTGAGTTGGCTAATTTACCTTCTCCGGTCTGTTTCGTTTCCTTCGCTCCGTTTCTCAGATTGTCTGTTTTGATCAACAATTGTACAAAATACACACATTCAAAGCTTCATTCTCGTATCCGTTATTCACTAACGCAAGCTAAGTCTATAATTATATACGAGGATTAATGATATGTATAAGACAATAACAATAATCACACTATCCAGTTGGAGTCAGATATTCGAGGGGCTGCTGAAATTCCACTTACTGTGAATAAACGAATTCATTATATAATGGTATTTCTCGTGCAAAAAGTCAATATATCGGTTATAAACTACTAATTGTTATGAATTTCGGATGTATTCGTCCGCAACGTTTCCACGTAAACCTAATGTATCGCCCAGTGTCACATCTGCGTTCAGGTAATCATAGAACTTGTCATTGTATAATGTATTTTTTATTAAATAACTGGACATTTAGAGTCCCATGCGGCAGCAACACATATTTTAGCTAAAAAAGAAACTAACTTCGGTTCTCCATATCTGAAAAAATACTCAAAGCAAAACAGTTTAAAATTTTATAATATAAGACTAGCCAGCTTGTCTGAAGAAGTACGTCGACTTGAGTAGCAGCAGCAGCAAAAACCCAGAAAACAATCCTGAATATAAGAAAATTTGCGCCAACATTTAGAGTATTACAATAACTGCGGCATTTTAGCACACTGAAGCATTAAATTATGTGGCTACACAAAAGAAATAGCTGAAAAAACACAGAACAAGGAAAGCCGACTACCATTGTTTACAAAGATGGCGGATGTAATAATTCCCGCCTCATTCCGATTAGTCACTAAGCAGACAGCCATTTTAACGAGGTCGAGTTGCGTTTAATTGCAGCCTGAATTTCTCATTTAAATCTGTAA